ATATATATATGGTGAGGTTAAAGTAGGTTTATAGTTGTGAGTCTAGGAAACATAGTTAACTTTTGTATTATTATTTATTAATTATTGTACTATTTTTCATACAAATGACTGTAAACCTACTTTTGTACAGTAGATGATTATGGAGCAGACTCTTGTTCAACCTTTTAATAGGGAATTTTAATCCATTTGTGTTTTTATTATAATTGCTGATAGATAATTGTTTATACTTTTCCTTGCTTTATTTTCTCCATTCTTGTATTCTGTCAAGTACTTTAGTCTGAATATTAGCAACAAGATTCATTAGGTGCTTATCAGCTTTATTTGTACACTGTGTTTTTGTATTTCATAAGTATTTCAAAAATTTGGTATCTGTATTATGCGAAGTGTCCCCTCAGAAGTTCGACCAGGAGACAGGGAGTTCGATCACTCACTATGACTTGCGTTGACCACCAGGAGGCAGAATGGAAGGAGGGAAGGCCCCAGCTGGCAGCCAGCAGCCAATCAGCCCTAATCACAGGCCTAGGGACCCTGCCTCGAGTTTACTTATATATTTCAATGAAGAATTTTTAATTTAGTAATGTCTGCCAACTGAAGAATACTTCCCACCACTTTTATTTACCCACCCCCCCGGAAAACACTTTTAGATAAATGGAAGTTTCGTGTGAGTTTATATTTCACTATGATTGAACTTGTCAAAAGAATTCACCTTGCCCTAGCCAGTTGCTCAGTGGTTAAAGCATTCATTAGTCGGTGACTGAGGGTTCATGAGTTCAATTCTAGTTGCAGGCTCATCCCCAGCCAATCCAGTCAATTGATGTGTCTCTCTCACATAGATGTTTCTCTCTCCTGTCTCTCCCCATCCTGTCCACTCTCTGGAAATCAATGGAGGAAAATATCCTCAGGTGAAGATTTTTAAAAAACCTTCACTTTAAAAAAATATTTTTAATTGATTTTAGAGAGGAAGGAAGAGGGAGAGAGAGATATAGAAACACCAATGATGAGAGAGAATCATCGATTGGCTACTTTGTGCATGCTCCCCATTGGAGATTGAATCTGTGCTCTAATCAAGAATCAAACCCTGACCTCCTGGTTCATGGGTTGATGCTTAACCACTGAACCACACTGGCTGGCAAACCTTTATTAACAGTTTGGCACATTGGATATTTTAAATAAGTTTTTTGTTGTTGTTGCATATCTATAGGTTGACCTTAGGATACAATCCATTTACTGAATACATTTAGGAAATACAGCTCTATTAAAGAATTGGCAAAGAAAGCAAGAGACAGAGTAATTCATTCAAAGGTGGATTTTTACATCTACAGTATGAAATCAAGTCACTAGTACAATTTTTCCCTGTACACATATATGTAACATCTAGTCATAATTGTTTATTCATAGAATTGACAAAAATAAAAAATGTAGATGTCAAGAAAAGAACTTAAAATAAGAACAGACATTTGCAAGGGACAATCCAATCTATACCAATCTCTGTGGAAAGCAAAATCCAGTGAGCATTTACAAAATATTCTGGTAGAATTGTCCTTCGGCTTTTTTCCCCGGGTGGTGCTTCTCTCTCTCAAGGCACTGGAAACATCATCTTGCTAACAGGCTATACCAGTGGCATGTTTAAAATAAATTTGTAATTCTTTTAATATTGCTTGACTTTTGTGAATGAGTTCTGCAAGTAGTAAAATGATACACATTCTCTGGGACACACATTTGATGAGTCATGTCTCACCTCTGAGATTGCTGAGGGGAAAGAATAGAGAATGATTTGAGGAGTCAAATGAATCATAAAGGAAGATTTCTTTCACTCAGCTTACCATCATACTGTGCATTTCTTCATCTATTTAAAAATCTTCTTGTGACCTCTGAATAGTAGTCACGCACATAGCTTCCCTTTTAAACTGTATTCTCACTCAGAAGTGATTTTGACTCGTTAAAGTGGACAAAGGAAGGTACTCCCAGGAATACCAGGTAGGTTTTAGTGTTTAAATATGACCAAAATGGAGTAAATGTGTATTTGTGACTATGTGCGCCATGAGTATATCTATTTTTAAATTAATTCTAAGTTATAGATGACATTTTACTCAGACTTTATAATGGAGAGCTTTTCTGTGTTAAGTTCAAGAAAAATTTCTTGAGAAATGGTTGGAGATTTCTATCATATATTTGCCAGTGACATTTTCCAATAGCTTTGGACTGCTTAAGTAAACAACAGGTAATGTTAATCTGCAAAGATTCCCTTATAAATTTACTCTTACTAAATTGTCTGTTTTTCTAACTTTGGCTATAAAAATCAAGGCATGATTCTGTTAGGGATTAATTTTCTAGAACTTATGGCAATGTGTGTTGATTTGTTGTATAAAACTTTAAATTACCACAAAGTATCTCTCAGATAACAAAAATCTTGAAAAGTAATTAATATATGTCTGATTTCTGAGTATATTTTTATCTACATATATACATAGAATTTGTTCATATTAAAAATGTGGAAATATTATAGTTTAAAACTATGCAAAATGAGATCTAACCAAATTATTTATAATAAAACCTTTACTGCTATTATAATATAAATTATACTTTATACCAGAGGAATCCACATATGACATAGTAATTTACCAATTTAAAAAGTTTTAAACTTCTTTCGATGACAGTTATGCCATCTATAAAATTATGTATTTTTTCCATTAATCTCTTTGGTATATTATGAATATAAAATACACTAAGATTTTTTAAAGGCATAAAATTAACATGTCCATTTAAAGCATTAGAAAGTACAACAATATGTCTTCTTTTATGTTATTTTAAACATTCCCATCAAAACTAAAAGGATGAAACAGAAGTTAGATTCTTAATATTTGTTAAATAAGAGTGATTGTCATATGATATTTTAGTTTGGAAATTTCTAAGCAACATTCAATAATTAATAATAGAAACTCAAAGCTTTATATAATAATTTGTTACTCAGTATTTTTAAAAACCATTATATTAGTCTTATAATATTTTTGAGAATTCTATACATATAGAGTACCAACTAAATTTAAGTATGAAAGATGAAAATTATTTGCTCAATGTTCCAATATTAAAGATGAAGTTAACCCTAATAATCTGTTTTCTCATTTCCTAACAAACGCCTTAGCTAAGTAATTGGGCTATGTTTTATAGGTAGCATTTCTTAAATACAATGATTTTCATGATTAGTAATAGTGTTTTTATTGGTATGTTCAAAAAATGTGAATGTCTCTACCTTTCATATTTTGTTTTCATCTAACCTTTGGAGAGCTATTTAATTGTTTTGAATTTAGTTTTGAAGTATTCCAAGCATCTTTATTTCTTATTATTTACATTGTCATTTTTTTCTGTATCTGTGATTAATTACTAAAATACTAAGAATATTAATATTAAAGTGTTGATAAAAATTAATATAACAGAATACTTATATAAGGGCATTATATTTTTATTTAATAAAAGCTTAAGAGAAATTAACCAATTTATAAAATAAAAACTATATTTTCAACTTTTAAATGGATTATAAGATGCCCAATATTTGATATTTTTAATGTGAAAGATACAGACATACAATGAACTTGAATTACTTCATCTCTGAAAAAATTATAAGCTTTCTCTGATTTTCAAACTTAACACTTAAAAGTAAAACAGTAATTCGAGTAAACAGTGAGTGAAAAATATAACACTTCTTAAATTAAAAGATGTTTCCAATAGTGTGTTTGCTAATTACATTGCTAATTTTTTACTCCAAAGTCTTTAAAAAGGATATTTGGTACAAATCATCTAAGTAAATATATATTTGGGTGAAGAAATTCAGGATAGTCTCTGAGTTTGAAAAAATATATATAAAAATATATATATAAAATACCAACATCAACATTGTTATGATTTTTTTTATTTCAAAGTATTCTGCCTTCCTATATTATTGGATCAAATCTTGAAATTATATACTCCAGCAAATGATACTACGAGGAATGTATAGCACTAACATTTTAATTAAATTATAAAAGCATAATCTGCACAATTATAGCTTAGCATTTGTAGCTAAGCATTTGATGACCCCCTAATTATGTTATTAGTAACATTTTATTTGATAGCTAGATAACTGGATAAATTAGAAACATATAATTAAAGCAAAGTCATGTCCTAATTTATAAAGACAATAAAAACAAAAAAGCAAAACCCCATTGAAAAATAGTTACTGCACCATTATAATGAGATACAATTTTACCGATATATCTTACAAAGAAAATAAAGGTCAAACTTTGCCTTATGCTTTCTTGTTAAAATATTCTAGAAGATGAGATAATTAAGTAAGTCTCAAGTCATGAACATAATACAAAATGATTCACCCCCATGAGCTTTTTGCCACAAGTCTAAAGTTATTTTGAATGGCACAGGATGAAAGCCAATATTGGGAGATGGTAAAGAATCACCATACAAGGTTTTAAATAACAAGATCAGAATCTTACTTCATTACTCAGGAACAATTAATTTCAGAGCACAGATTTATTATATCTTCTGCTACCTACGTTGACACCACATGTCTCACCAGATGAAAGTAGGCAGAATCCTTTAACCGTAGTCCACCGTGGAGCCCAGTATGAAGGGTGATGTGGGGCAAGGTACCATGGTTCTTGAGAGAGGAAAAAGCCTGAATGTGCATTAAGAATCATGAAGAAAGAAACTAGTCCATGCAGGAGCCTTTATCTCAGAGTTCAAGGTTGTAAAGGAGTTGTATTTTGCCCAGTGAACTGGATTGGCAAGGGTCGAATAAAGCCAATCTGCTGGAAGAAAAATAAAAAAGCACCAACATATAGCCTAATTATATCCACAAACACAAAGATTTTTCAATTGTCTTTTTCATAAAAATTATCTCTTTCTTGCATTTATGAAGCAATATGAATACTTTCAGCAATACTTTCTTTGTCAATGACCCAAATGAACTGTCCAATCCACCAACAGAGCTTGAAAAGTCACCGCTCCTTTTAGAGGGACACAGACCTCTTTCTACTCCTGGCAAAATCCCCGGCTTGAATGAAGTTGGAGAGAGCCTTCGTGAGGTGACTATCCGATGTCTCCGTGCTGCTCCCAAAGTCATAGCTCTTGAGGCCAGGGCACAAGCACTGCACCGTGGCCCTGCGGATGTAGCTGTCAAAGATGTAGTAAATGAAAGGGTTGATACAGCTGTTGGCAAAGGCTAAGGGCCCGCTCACCTCCATGCCCCGCTGGAGGAAAGACACGGAGACGTAGTGTTCTTGCTGCAGCCCAGACACAATGGCCAGAAGCTTGAACGTGTTAAAGGGCAGCCAGGAGATCACAAAGACGGCCACGACAATAAATATGATCTTGATGGATTTCCTCAGCTTCTTGTTGTGCTTTCCCGTCCGCTGGTACTGGGCGCACAGCTTCCTGACGATACAGCAGTAGCAGGTCACAAGGCTCACCAAAGGCACGAAGAAGGTAAAAAGTAAGGACACCAGGGCCCAGGTCAGTTTAGCCGAAGTGGCCCTCTTCTCTGCACAGTATGGCTTATCTTGGATCAGGGTGAGCTCCCTGGACAGAAGAGTAGGCAGCCCCAGGAGGCAAGAGATACACCAGACACTGGCACAGACCCCATAGGCACAGTCCCTCCTTCTGAGTTTCCTGGACGCGGCCGGCCACAGGATGGCCAGGTAGCGGTCCGCGCTCATGCAGGTGAGCAGGAAGACGCTGCAGTGCATGTTGACCGAGATCATGTAGGAGCTGCCTTTGCACAGGAAGGAGCCTGTCCTCCACAGCCCTGACGAGGCTTCCTTGTCCACCCAGAGAGGCAGCGTGATGAGGAAGATGAAGTCGGAGGCGGCCAAGTTCACGATGAAGATGTCCATCAGCCTCCGGCTGCCCCGTTTGAAGTGCAGCACGCCCATGAGGAGGAGGTTTCCTAGCACCCCGATCAGGAACACGGCTGTGTAAAAGGAGGGGAGGACAGGGGATGTGTAAGGAGCGTGGAAGTGGGTCTCCTCCAGGTCATCAGGGTCTGTGCTTGTCCCGGAGGAATAATCCCAATAATCAGAGGTTGCTTCTGGGTCCATCGCCAAAGATCAGGTGGCAACACCTGGGGAAGTTTCCTTGCCTAGGAAGTGCCTGTGTGAGTGTTAGAAATCTCAAGGCAGCTTCTTTTATGCAGTGCCACCTCTTCCCCCACCTCACCCCTCCCTTAAAAGATGGTGAGGCAAGCATAAAAACAGAGATTTTTAAAAAGCAGTTTCTACCACTCTTCAGAAAGGGCCCTCCAGGAACATCACCCTGATTGGTGCTGGGTGGTTGTGGTTTTTTAAATTTACATTTGCCCAGGAAACTAAGCTGCTTTTTGACTTCTTTCTTCAAGGTTTTGAACTTGTTTCTTTAAATCCAGAAATTAGAAAATAAATTAAACATTTTTTTCCTTACCTACGTGAAAGACATATTTTGCTTTTCTAACGCCGAGAATCCTTTTGATCTAGCCTTCTGTTTCACCTATAGGATACTGTTTTACTATTAGAATTTTAAGGTGATGATGGTGAAGATACTGTTTTTATTTACATCATTGGTGCAATGTGAAGAAAATAGTCTTCCGTTGCAGGAAGAGTGAACTGAAAATCTAAACCATGCCAGTCTGCATCTATGGCAAACATAATGGTTCCAGTTAGGTTATGAGATTTTTCCCAATTACTTGACTCTTTTAGTTTATATATAATCAATCCTGTCTCACTCAGTAAGTTGTGTGTTTGCTTTTTTTTTTTTTTTATCTTCAAAAAGCTGAGGCCATATCTTGTATTTTTATTATTTGGAAAACAATATTCCACTATGATTAGTACAACACCTTGCACATAGCGGGTGCTTTGGGAATGTTAGTTTATTTGAGTTGATTAGAAAAGCTCTTATTTTTGTGATTCAGTGTTAGTAGCAATAGTGAATTCATTGGGTTTAACTGCAGGCATTCTTATTACAAATTGATATTTTCAACTTCTCTGCCATTATAATTCAACCAATAACATTCCCTTTGTTAAGATTAACATTCTTGTTTGAAAGATTTCCTCCTACTAACCCTTAAATACCTATGTTTCATCAGACTTTAGATCCCCTCACCTTTATAGCAGTGATTGTTTAGCTTTTGAGCTGTGACTTTTCCTTGAATACCTCCACACATCAGTGAGCTACACATTGGAAATTATTGGCCTGGCAACAGAGAGACCTATATTAAGTGACATTATAATGCAATTGCCAGTATAGGCACTATAAAAGGAAGATTTTTGGTTCATTCAAAACTCTTGAGAAATAGGCTGACATAGGAAAGATCCTATCCTATTTTCTTATCTAGTCTCTTTTATATTAGAAAGACCATAGCAAAATATAACAAATTCTAAAACTGACTTCATTTATTTCAACTTTTTACTGGCTGAAGTGGCTCAAGCTTCTCTCACACTCTTCTCTCCTTCCCTCTTTCCCTCCATCTCATTTCATCGCCAAAATTAGTTTCAGATTGATATTAAGAATACCTGGAAGAATTTATGCCTGTGGATGAAAATACAGTTGTTAAACATTTGAAGCTCTTTCTACTGAATTTTTATTCCTTTCAGATATAATGTGTTGAAAAGAATGATCCTGCCTGCTGTATTCCCTCCTTCCCTCTTTTTCTTGAATGTCACCTCAGCCTTAGGCGTCAGTCTAAGGCAGGGGAAGATGAGAGCTCCCCTGATCTGGGGCAGCCCCGGGAAGTCACCTACAAGTTGTGTTTTGCTCTGAGTCTGCCTTCATCTGAGTCCCTGGCTGTCCCGTGTTATTCATGGAAGGTGGGCAGGGGGTGGGGGGCACATCCTTTACTAAGGACAGGCTGCAGATGAGCAGAACTAATGTTTTGACATTTCTGGGATGAAAGTCTTTGCCATGGGTAAGCCTTAAATATTGAACAGAATGATTTATTTTGTCAAATAGTTGGAAGCAGAACAGTATTAACTTGAAAATCATTGATGGAATAAACACAGACTATTCAACCACTATATCTATGCATATGTGTCTTAAATTAATATATATATTTGTACTTTAATTGTACTGTTAGAATTTTATATTATGCAAACAGAAGTTCTTTTGGCATTTGAGAAGATAAGATTGATTTGGGTCCTAAAATATTTTTAAAAATATTTTTAGATATGTCTCAGAAATTCCATATAAAAGTTATAAAATGGAAAAGAGTTGATGCTCATACTCTAGAGAAAAATACCTGGCTGTACAATTATTCTGTAGGTCTTAAATTTTCTTCCAGCACTCAAAATTGTTGGCTGGCTGATGTAAACTATGTCAAACAAATCTGAATTTCTCAGTAAATTTTAAGACAAAATGATTTTTTTTTTTATGATACATGGTCACTTGGAATATAGTATTAGTAGTTGAATGCTGTGATGTGAGAATATCCAACATGGATCAACAGTATCTTGGGACCCAAGTTAGAAAACAAATGAAGTGTTTTGAGCCACAAAAGGAAACAAATAGAATTGTTCTGAGCTTTTAATAACTCAACGAATACAAAGCTATTATAAGACAGAACCCAGGATAGAAGCTGACTAGACAAAGTAGGGAAGGACATTGCTTTAAATAAGCTTGGGTGCAATGGTCATTCTCAGGCTTCAAATGATCTTTGACATAAACATGAGTTAATTAACAATAAAATAACCAGTGCACATATAATAGACCAAAAACTCAAAACAACACCGTATATCCAGCCTATAAAAAAAGGCAGTCTGAACAGGATGATTAAAAAAAAGAGTAAGATGTGAATATTAGTAACTGAATTACAGTGCGTAAGCCATCTCAAGAATGGTTATCCCTCAAGTGGCTCAACTTTTCTCCCCCATCCCTGGCAGATAATCACTTCCAGCTTAATGTTCTCTGAGACCTTTTACAACACTGCTTATTACCTCGTTCCACACGATTTGTTCTTTTGGTGTCTGACCTCCTGAGCTGATCATGAGCAAATTGAAGGGAGAGACCATCCCTTCTCTCGCCACTGGCCTCAAGTAGCTCCCCAACTAAAGATTTTTATGGACTCTCAAAGCCATTGTTTTGAACCTGTGGGTGTCAAACCAAATTATCCACATGTGGGTGCCTACTAAACTGTAGCTTTCTGAATCCATCCCAGATCTATTGAATCAACATCATTAGGAGTGGAGTCTAGGACTTTATATTTAACAAACATCCAAGGTGATTTTTATACACACTAAAGTTTAGAATCACTATTCTCATTCGTTCATCTTAACCAACTTCATATGTTATGCTTTGTTATTATTTTGGCTAACTTAAAAAAAAAGTTTAAAAATCACCTATAAATTTGAATTTATTAGAAGTCTTCTACTTTGGATATCACAAAATTTTAGAAATTTAGACTCGGAGCTCTTTCTATTCTGTGTCCCACTTCCTGAGATATGTTCAGAATTGGGTCAGATATTGAAGATGAGGAGAGAGGAAGGTTTTCTCCACAGAGAATCTATTATCACGTATCATGTGGCCATAGCTTCATCCTCTGCTTCACAGGCGGGCCGAGGTTTGCTGTGAATACAGCCACCCCAACTGGCATTATGACATATTTCTTCTCTGTCAACCACTCTGCTCCCCATATTAAATAGGGACTTGTCAGGTTATGTAGCATATAGCACAGCAGAAAGAAGTCTCTGCTCATATATGCTCTCCTGATGAGCCCTGTAATAAATGGAAAATATCATCAAGCAAATTGCTTTTTATTAATATTATCAGATGATGATGTGTTTTATTAGGAAAAAACCCACTCTTGTCCATTTCTTACCTGAGTATTATAAAGTGTATAACAATTTAAGTAGTCCAGTTTAAGAGATCTGTTTGTACACTGAGTTAATGATTTATTTTTACTTTGACAGTTTCTGTAATGTAATATATCCTAGCAAATTAAGTGCTATCAGGGTCCATCACAGGGAATATAGAGCATTGTGTTCATTGAATTTAATTTTTTATTTTTATATTACAGTTGATATACAATATTAACATTAGGTGTACAACATAGTGATTAGATATTTATATACATTACAAAGTGATTACCCCTATAAATCCAGTACCCATCTCATATCCTATTTGGTTATTACAATATTATTTACTATAATAGAGGCCCAGTGCACAAAAATTGTGCACTGGCAGGGTCCCTAGCAGCTGCCAACTGCCAGCTGGGGATGGGGGGTGGTGTGGGGGGAGAGACTCCCTCCCTTCCCCGAGTAGGCCCCACTCCCCTGGTCGAACTCACAGTTGAGAGGACAATTTTCATACTATGCTTTTATTATATAGAATTTCCTGTGATGTACTTTATATCCCCATGACTAATTTTATAACTGTCAATTTGTATTAATACTTCTTTTTAAAATTTTCTTGAGTTTATTTGATGACATGTTTATTGGTTTGTTCCAATTATTTGTGCATTCATTGGTTCATTCTTATATGTGCCCTGACTGGGGATTGAACCCACAACTTTGTTAGTTCAGGATGATGTGGTAACCAACTGAGCTACCTGGCCAGGGCATTTAGTTGTAATTTTTTTCTTTCTTCTTTTTTTTAATCCTCACCTGAGAATATTTTCCATTGATTTTTGGAGAGAGTGGAGGAGAGAGGAGAAAAAACAGAAACATCGATATGAGAGTAACACATTGATTGGTTGCTTCCCACCAGAGCCCAGGCCAGGGAGGAGCCTGCAACCAAGATAGGTGCCCTGGCCGAAACCGGTTTGGCTCAGCGGTAGAGCGTTGGTCTGCCAACTGAAAGGTCCCAGGTTGGATTCCGGTCAGGGGCATGTATATTGGTTGCGGGCACATCCCCAGTAGGGGATGTGCAAGAGGCAGCTGGTCGATGTTTCTCTCTCATCGATGTTTCTAGCTCTCTATCTCTCTCCCTTCCTCTCTGTAAAAAATCAATAAAATATATTAAAAAAAAAAAAAAGATAGGTGCCCTGGACCAGAATCGAACCCAGGACCCTTTAGTTCACTGCTCTATCCACTGAGCCAAATTGACTAGGGTAGTTGTAATTTTGATGTGGTTGTGAGAGAAGGTGAGCACAGAATTTTCCTAGTCTACTATCTTTTAATTTATTGGGGTGACACTGTTTAACAAAATTACATAGGTTTAAGTGCACAATTCCACAACACATTGTCTATACACTGTATTGTGTATTCACCACCCCAAGTCAAGTCTACCCTCCATTCTACTCTGCCATCTTGAGGAAAGATCCATTTTAGATGCACTTTTCTATTTGCCTTGTTCTTGGTTAATATAACTATTTTTCTATAGTGAATTGATACAAGAAAAAATTTTAAATGATTTTTTTAGGGTGGTTGTTTATTGAAACTGAGAGTTTGCATATATTCCTGTTTTTCTCTTTTCAGTACTACTAGGTTCACAAGAAAAACAACAAAATTTTTTGAGAACAATATAATGTAGATATATTTTACTCAACATAATTTTCTAGTTCTTAAAATGGGTGCAATTAAAAATTAATATTTAAGTAGATTAGAGAATTTGGTATGAAAGAAATTCTCATATTAAGAATTGTTTTGTAAATACATAGTATAAGCAAATACTATCTGCATAGCTATATTTTCAGTTGTTGGCTTATTTAAACTGTAATGTAACTGCAAAACCTTCCTGCTGAAACTGGAAGCACCCTTAACAAATTAAGGCAGAGGCCTAGTTCAACTTTGGTTTTAAATGTAAATTGCATAATCTTAAATTATCTTTAATATTTTATAAAAACATTTCAGACCAGCTACTGTTTTCCAAAACAATAGAGTAAGAAATGGAAGCAGACATTTAACTCTATTATATTAAGGATTTATATTGCCTACCCACACAAATAAGAATAAACAGAAAACACCCACGATGCAGAGATAAATAAGAAATACGGCTGTGTGCTTGGAGTTACTGCATATGATGGGACAGTGCAAGTCCTCTGTGCTGGCTGGGCAGGATGGTCACAGCCTCTAACAGGCAATACACTTCTAGGTCCATCCCAAATGGCTGTGTTTTGTGTGTTTTCTAAGTATTCTGCAGACTTGATGGATGAAAGCGACATCCTCCTTGGCACGTCTCCCCAAAAACAACCACCCTGAATCATGGACACTGTGTCTGCTTGAACAGGGCTCAGTAAGGATGCCTGAAATCCGGTCCTGGTAAGTCTTCCCTAGTCATCTGGCAGTTAGTCCAGAGGTTCATAAAACCTACGGAAATGAACAGACTCCTACCTCTATCAATGGCTTATTTCCCCCCAGAGGAATCAGGAGCTTTTAAAGGCTGTATATAATGACCCCACTTAAACATTTTAGATGTTCAACACATATTTTCCAATACAAATAACTTAATAATTTTTTACTATGCCTCAGACCCTGTGCTGGGCATTTTATTTTATTTTTCTCATTCAGTCCTCACAATGATTGCTTTGGATAGGGGCTATGGTCAACATCCATATTTTGGGGAACATCCATATTTTGGAGAAAATAAAACTGAAACTTAAAGAAGCAAATTGTCTAAAGTCACAAAGCGAGTCTTCTCACTCCAACATTCAAGTTTGGTAAATCAGTTATTCACCCTGGGCTCTTTGAATTTGAGGTGGTATCTTCCTCTTTAAATTGTAAAACCTCAGTTCCACAGGTCACAATCGACCACTAGCCGTGACCGGAGACAGTTCGCCTCAAGCCGCCTAGACCTTCTCACAGAAGAAATCCATCCATCAGTCCAGACCTTCCGTTTGCGCGCTGCTGTCGCTCGGAAGCCGAACTACAACCCCCACAAGGCGCCGCGCGCGCTGCGCCGCGGATGCCGTCCTCCTCCTCCTCCTCTCTCAGCTCTCCCTCCGTCCCTCCTACAACTCCCACAAGCCCCCTGGGCTCCGGGCCCGGGCCGGACCCGGGCTGGGGGCGGAGGCGGAGGCGCGGGAGTTGTGGAGGGGGCGGGCTCTGCAGGGAAGTGCGTCAGAGGAGGCGCGGGGGGAGCGGGCTGCTGTGGTCAGAGCTTAAGGGTGAAGCTGGCGGAGCAGGAGGATGGGCGGTGAGTGCGCGGGGCCGGCGTCGCCGGGCGGGGGTCGCGTAGCCGTGCGACCTTGCCAGCGGTTTAGGGAGGGTCCCCTCTCCTCCCCTCCCCTCCCCTCCCTCTGCGCCGCTGGGGTGGGCGGGCTCTGAGCGGCGCAGCTGGGCGGGGGGTTGGGGGGGGGGGGTTGTCCCTCGGCCAAGAGGTCTGGGGCGGGGCCTGGTGGGGTACCCGGGGCCCCTGGCCGGGTCCGCGCTGGGATCCCCCATCCCGGCCCTTCCCGCGTCGGCCTCCCCCGGCCCCCGAGTGCGCCCTGCGAGGTGCCCGCGCCCGGCGCCGGGCCTGGGGGGAGCGCCCTCCGGGGCCGGGACTCCTAAGGTCATCCGGGAGCTCCGGGACGAAAGAGGGCTGCGAGGAATACAGACACAAACCCGACTCTCAGAGTTACCCTGCATTCCTGTAATTGCCCTGATCTCTCTCTCCTGAGTCGCCCCCAGCCTCCAAACTCAGCCACCGCCGCGGCTGGCGAGCCTGTGCCTGAGCCCCTTTGTAGGGCGAGTGCCGGGGTCACGGTGTGCGCGGGCTGGGTTTGCCTCCGCTGGGTGCGCCCTGAGTCATTTTACTGCGGCCTTTTACTACCGCCGGGGTGCCGGGTGCACGCCTTCCCAGTGTGCACGTTTTGCATAATGCATACTTTTCTTTATGGCCCAGGAGAGTTCACTTAGTTTGCAGAAGAGGAGGTTCCAAAGTACCGGGAATGGAGAGAGTACCTAGGAACGAAGAAATGTGTCAGGGTGAGGGAGCGTGGCTCAGCGTGAATGGGTTAGGGCAGCTTGACACCTGGCATTGTGTGTAATTGTGTTCTCCTTGCTGTTCTCTGCGCGCCTAAACCGCCCTTCTCTGCGGGTTCACAAATATCTCCCACTCCGTGTTCCTGATTCTAAACACTGTTTTCAGGTTTCCCTTTTCAGAGGGAACCGGGAGGAGCGGATTTCCTCTGCTTCCCTTTCCTGTGCCCTTCTCACACTTAGACGGGGGGGGGGGGGGGGGGGGGGGGGGGGGGGGGGGGTGGTGGAGCGGGGACTTAATGCCCTGCCGCTGAGTTTTTTATAAAAACTCAGTCTGTAATTAAACATTGGCCCCTATGGTGGTGCATTGCTGACTCTGGGTATGTCCATGGTCTGTATCTGTAATGTGTATGTCCTTTTCAGTGTTGTCTGTTTTAGTGTGCAGGTGATAGACTAGAGAACAAGACCTCTGTCTCCATAGCGTCCTGGGTAGGTGAACTTTCAATAAGTACTTTCATGATGACTTTTGTTTTGAACTTAATTTAAAACAATGGTTTAAAAAAAAAACACACAAAACTTCTTCATGATTACACATTACATTCAATAGCCAACGGTTGGGAAATAAAGTAAAGCGATTTTGAGATAATTTCTTTCAAAGTGATCTTTATTTGAGATAATTTCTTTCAAAGTGATCTTTATTTGTCCTCTAACTTTTCTTCAATTTTCATACAGAGCAGTGTGAATGCCAGGATGGATAACCGTTTTGCTACAGCATTTGTAATTGCCTGTGTGCTTAGCCTCATTTCCACCATCTACATGGCAGCCTCAATTGGCACAGACTTCTGGTATGAATATCGAAGTCCGGTTCTAGAAAATTCCAGTGATTTGAACAAAAGCCTCTGGAGCGACTTTGCTAGTGACGAAGCAGATGAAAAGACTTACAGTGATGCACTTTTTCGATATAATGGCACAATGGGATTATGGAGACGGTGTATCAGTATACCCCAAAACGTATATTGGAATAACCAAGAAAGGACAGGTATTTCTCTTTTTAACTTCTGTCTCCTTTACCTGTTCAAATAGGAACAAGGTGATATGATGATGACCCAATTATGTATAAACTGATTTGTAAGTTCTTTCTCTCCTCAAAGAAATAAATCTGTGTTTCTTTTCTCCATACCACCTTCTACCACCACCTCTCATGAGTTACCATTGTACTCATAAATATTGATTGGGTGAGTAACTGTCCTTATTTGAGAAAGACATTTTAAATCTTTGTACTTATTTACCTATTTACAAAGATTAAAAGCCTTTCTATTCATCTCATACATCATGAAGAAATAAATGGAAAAGTACAAATAAGACTTTAAACACTTGGTAACTAGTAAAAACGACTCGTATCCAAAATCAGGTCAATAAATATGAATTGATAGTTCTTTTATATGTTAGCTGTGTTTTAGTAGATATTGTCATTTTCCCTCTAAATCTTAGAGGATATAATATGACCAGCTCTACATTTATATCTGTGCATATTTGAAACTGTTTTGCAATAATCTTTAAAAAGATTTTTAAAATTGATATTTAGTGAAAGGGAAAGGGAGGGGGGGGAGAGAGAGAGAACCATTAACATGAGAGTGGAACATCAGCCAGCTGCCTCTTGCACATCCCCTACCAGGGATCAAGCCTGAAGCTTGGTCATGTGCTCTGACCAGGAATTGAATCAGCAACACTTCTGTGCCTTGGACAACGCCCAACCAACTGAACCACACCAGTCAGGACTGTTTTTCAACAATCTTAATATACCTTACAGATTAGCCGAAACCGGTTTGGCTCAGTGGATAGAGCTTCAGCCTGCAGATTGAAAGGACCCGGGTTCGATTCCAGTCAAGGGCATGTACCTTGGTTGCGGGCACATCCCCAGTGGGGTGTGTGCAAGAGGCAGCTGATCGATGACTCTCTCTCATCGATGTTTCTAACTCTCTATCTCTCTCCCTTCCTCTCTGTAAAAAATCAATAAAAAATATTAAAAAATAAATTATATATATATATATTTCTTACAGATTAAAGATGTACAGAAGAGAAATAACACAAGAAATTATCTCTCACGTTTATTTTGCAAGCATCCTTAACATTTAAAAATTTTAATTTCCAGTTATTGGAAATTAAACTGTAGAGCTCTTTGTAAGAAACAGCTTTACATTTTGTGTCAGTTTTACATTTTGTGTTTTTGTTTTTGTTTTTTTTAACTTGTGACTACTTCTGTTGGCCTGTTGGTGGGAATCACTGTATTCAGATCCCAGCACAAAAACTTGAGTTGCCATACATCAGAAAATGGTTGTTGTGATTTTATATGGGGGGAGGAGGGGGAGGAAGTAGTTTGTAAGAGGGGAAAGTAGGTTAAAATTTATTGTAAAACATTTAACTATGAGAGCATGGGAGTACTTGATATTTGAATCTTAGCAACTATTTATCGTATGTCTCCATATTCCAGGGCCTAGAAGCTAGGAGTACATCAGGAAAAATAAAAATAACAATTCTTACTCTGGAGAAACTACATACATTCTAATAAGGTGTGACAGGCAATAAACATAGCTATAACAATATAAGCAATAAATAATTATTGTTAAAATGTTAGAAGATGACACATGCTAAAATATAGCAAAATAAAGGGGAGTTGGAAAAACATGATGTTGCTGGGAGTAAGTTATGATATTCAGTGGTATAGGCTCCAGTGAAAGACGCCCCTTGAGTAAAGACTTGACATAAGTGAAGGTGTTGGCCAAATTGGCCATTGTGGAGACAGAGGAGAGTGTTTAGGTTGGAAGAAACTACTACAAAAGCCCTACTTTGGGAGCATGCCTAACATAGTCAAGAACCAGTGAGGAAGCCACCTGACTGGAATGGAGGGAGAGGGAGAGTGGTATTCTATCAGAGATGTGCTCTTGGGATGAGAGTAGAGCAAATCATGCAGGATTCTCTAGGCATGAAGAGGACTTTGGCTTTTACTCCGAATGTGATAGAGTCATTGGGGATCTTTGAGCAGAGGAAAGATGATCTGCTCACCTAGGCTGATACGTTGAATACAGGTGTCAGGCAAAGGGGGGAGCCAGGAGGCAAGTTAGGCATATGTACTAATTCAGGGGAGAGATGATTGTGACTAGGACCAGGGTGGTAGTACTGAGTATTGGCTGGATTCCAGATATATTTTGAAGGTAGAGCCTCTAGGAGTTCCTGATGGAATGCATGTGGACAAGGATGACTAAAATCTATAGGCTGAGGAACTAGAAGGGTAGAATTATTACCTCAAATGGGGAAGATGGCTGGTAGAGTAAGGGAGGGAAGAAGATCAAAGTTCCTGTTAATTCGTTTTTGTCCCCTTCTCCTTCCTAGTCTTCTTACATATCTATTCTCATTCATTTCACTGCTCTTATTCCTTTTTCCCCCCTTTCTAGTGCCCAGGTCGTAAGCCCGCCACTGAGAACTATTGTATCTATTGGGCATTGATCCTACATGCTAAAGCTAAAGATGTTGCTGTCTCCTCTGGGAACATCTCTCTGTATCTTTTTATTTTAGAGAATAGTTACTAGAAAGAGATTTTTTGTTAAATGCTTAGTATTAAAACAGCAAGCAATCATTGTTATTCTTGTTCCAGAGTCATTTGATGTGGTCACAAGATGCACAAGTTTAACGCTAACTGAGCAGTTCATGGCAAAATATGTTGATCCTGGAAACCACAATTCTGGGATTGATCTACTTCGAACCTGTGAGTACTTTGATATCAGCAGGACAATTAGGGAAAAATAGATAATAAGTTTGCCTTTTTATGAACTCTGATTTTGAAACAAGATGAGTTATAATATTGTGTCAACTCAAAATAAGATCTTTAACAGTATCTCAATAAACTGATCTGTTCCATAACACATTTTAGGTGCATACTTAGCAAATTGCAAATAGGAAGTTGAGAGAGGCAAAATAACACATTGGATGACAAAATCCAGACCCTTCAAAAGGTATTTTTAGTAAGCCCATTTCAAGAGGAATTTAATAGGGATAAATAAAGATTCCTATATTTGAGTTAAACACTTCAGCCACCAGAGTTCAGTTAAGGATGTGTGAACACAGTTGACTGCAAATTCTATACGAGTCAATTGAATGTCAGGCCTGCCCCAGGTGTTAATCCAGTCTTAGGTGATAGTAACAGAACTGTAGATGTTAAAAATAAATAAAAGTATTTATTAGGAGTATTTATTATCCCTTGAGGGTCAGACTACCCAGGAAATACTGTCTTTAGATTTGAACCTAGTTTCCAATCTATAAAGACTTATTAGAGCTTGCCTGGAAGAATGACCATGTCATGAGAAGAAACATTGAATAAAATGGCAAATATTTAATTTTGCCCTGCAAATGCATAGGAAAAAGTTTATTCTATTTATTGCTAACAGTTGAAGGAAAGAGAAAAGACTTTTATGTAGTTCTAGAAGTAAAGCTAGATTAGAAGGTAGATGTGGTTTAATAGTGATATTGATACATTGCTAATAATTAAAATAATTTTAAAATGGAATAGGATGTTTTGTAAAGTCACCAGCTTTCTTCCCATGTAGTTGAAGGGATTTATGATAATTAAACTGCCATGTATCTCCCTGACCAGTTTGGCTCAGTGGTTGGAACATCTGCCAGAGGACTGAAGAGACATGGGTTTGATTTCTGGTCAAGGCATGTGCCTTGGTTACAGGTTCATCCCTGGCCCTGGTCAGGGCACATGCAGGAGGCAACCATTCAATGTGTCTCTCTCACATCAATGTTTCTCTCAGTTGATGTCTCTCTCTATCATTGTTTCTCTTTCCACCTCCTTCTTCCCTCCCTTTTACTCTCTCTAAAAATCAGTGGGAAAAATATCCTTAGGTGAGGATTTAAAAAACAAAGAAACACCACCACTAACAAATCTCCCATTTTATTGTAGTATGCCTGTATATACAGATCCTCTATTTTGCGCTTTATGTATACTCTTTCAACAGTTTTTTTTTCCTTTTTTCTTTTTTTAATAAATCTTTATTGTTCATATTATTACAAATGTTCCTCATTCCCCCTCTCCATTGCTCCCCTCCACCAGGTTCCCATCCTACCCTCTGCCCTTTCCTCGCCCCCGCATTGTCCTCTTCCATTGGTGCACAGTTTATATTTAGCCTCTTCCCACATCCCCCTCTAACCTTTTCCCCGAGAATCGTCAGTTCACTCCCCTTCCATACCTCTGATTCTATTATATTCACCAGTTAATATTGTTCATCAGATTTTTTTTTTAATTTCCTTGGTTTTTAGATTCACTTGTTGATAGTTACGTATTTGTTGTTCATAGTTTTTATCTTTATTTACTTTCTCTTCCAAAAGAACCCTCTTCAGCAATTCATATAATTCTGGTTTGGTGTTGATGAACTCCTTTAGCTTTTTTTTATTAGTGAAGCTCTTTATCTGGCCTTCGATTCTGAGTGATAGCTTTTCTGGGTAGATTATTTCTGGCTGTAGGTTCTTGCTATTCATCACCTTGAATATTTCTTGCCATTCCCGTCTGTCCTGCATGGTTTCTGTTGAGAAATCAGCTGACAAATGTATGGGTGCTGCTTTATAGGTAACTACCTGCTTTTGCTGCTTTTAATATTCTCTCTTTGTCTTTTGCTCTTGGAATTTTAATCATGATGTGTCTTGGTGTGCTCTTCTTTGGATTCCTTTTGTTTGGAGTTCTGTGTGCTTTCTGGACTTGTAAATCTATTCTTTCACCAGGTGGGGGAAGTTTTTTTTTTTTTTTTTTTTTTTTTTTTATCTTCACCATTCATTGACTTGTTATAACTGCCATAGGTCCTCTAAGGACTTAGATTTGCTTGTATGTAGAGCCAGAATGCTTTGCCTCAAATGCTAGCTCTACTAGTTTGTAAGGATGTTGGGAGGGTAAATACACAGAGCATCTAATGGAACAGTGTCTGACACTTAGTAAGACCTGTCCTGCTGAGGTGAGTAGTTGTTAACTTTTAGTGTCTTTTTACTTTTACATTTATCAGGACAAAGTGAGAATTTTTTTTGAACAGTGCTTTACAAAACAAACTTCAATATCCCTCATTTTTGAGAAAAGATCTGCATAGAAGAGGAAAGAAATTTCCATTGTGGGAAAGCTGTCTGGAATCCTGGTAACATGTTTTTCCTCTCTTCTTTTCTTCCAGATCTTTGGCGCTGCCAGTTCCTTTTACCTTTTGTGAGTCTAGGTTTGATGTGCTTTGGGGCTTTGATTGGACTTTGTGCTTGTATCTGCCGAAGCTTGTACCCCGCCATCGCCACAGGCATTCTCCATCTCCTTGCAGGTAGGTCTTGTCATCAGACTCAACATTTTATCTTCTTTCTGTCTCCTTAGAGACCAAAGTGTTATGATTCTTAAACATTCATATATTACTGCTCTGTCACATTGCCTGAAAAATTCTCATGGTGTCTTATCTAGCAGTGTTTTGTTTTGTTTTCTCCATTTCCCTCCAAGGTCTGTGCACACTGGGCTCAGTGAGTTGCTATGTTGCTGGAATTGAGCTACTCCATCAGAAACTGAAGCTGCCTGAGAATGTGTCCGGTGAATTTGGATGGTCCTTCTGCCTGGCCTGCGTCTCAGCTCCCTTACAGTTCATGGCTTCTGCTCTCTTCATCTGGGCAGCTCATACCAACCAGAAAGAGTACACCTTAATGAAGGCATACCGTGTGGCATGAGTGGGAAGCTAGCTGCTGTACAATTGCCATTTTTATTATTTTTTAAGAGTAATATTTTCTCTCCCCCAATTTTTTTTCTTAATTTAACTACTTTTTTGCAGATATATCACTCTATCTTGAAAATCCATTTTATTTATTCATATATTTGTTTTTTGATACAACTAAAATTTATATGCATTACTCTGAGTGATTTCATATTTCAACTTAATCTAGGGTCAGAGTCTAGACCAAAGGAAATGGGAAGATACTTGGCACAATTTTGTGAAAAATAACTGATAGTGGGAAATTGACCTAGAACAAGTTCTGCTGATGTCTGTTAGACTTTTCAGTAAAGTAATTATATTCAATCACCTGGAAATTTTACTTTCATTGGGAAGCCTCATTATTGTCAAAACTTACGTTCACTTGCCGTTATAGTCAGTCAGCCAGAGTTATTCTGTTTTCAAAAACTTAAGCTACATATATAGGGAAATTATGTAAGATACTTTTTCCTAAATATTGGCATATAACTTCATTAAGATGAAATATGGCAGCTGTTGATCTATATCGTGTCTATCTATAAAAAAAAGAGGTGAAAAATAATCTTACTTATTTTAAATTTTAACTTTGGAATGACAGGAATTCCAATTCAGCCAGATAAGAAGATTAACCTTATTTTACTTTTTTAAAAAAAATCTCCTTAGTGTGTCATAGGATTTTCAGTACCACCAAAACGTTTGGATTTTTGCTTCTTCCCCCTTTATACAAGAATGCTTTCTTTTTAATACTACATTGGGTTCACAGAGTAAAATTCTTCAACTCCTATCTCTTTATTTCAACTAAGTACCATAAAGAACATTCCACCATAAAGGCCCTCTGGAGTTAGAAAAATTACCACAACCACCTGGTCATTAACTTCCAAACATGGTCTTTATTTCTTGTGGTGAAATGATGTGCCTTTCCTTGCCTAAGTCCCTTCCTGGTGTGTATTAGCATTATTTAATGTCTTCTAATTCAGTCATTTTTTTTATAAATACATCTGTAAACATTGAACTTTGAAAAATTTTATTTATTTATTTCATTACTGTAGCACTTGACAGATTTTTTGAAAAATGTAACTTAGTGATTTCTTACAATATCCTAAATCTGTCTTTTATATAAAATAAAATTAAAAATGAGAAGAGACTCGGTTGATTTAAATCTCAATACATTGGATAAAGAAATACAAGATTCTGAATGAGCATTTCTGTGGAAAATGCTTTGTTGATTTATAGGCCTATCTTTATGCCCAGTGTTTAGGTCTCTTTTATCTTCCAAGAACTGTGGGAACCTCTTAACACCTACTAGAAAATAAGAGACTCTATGTCTATGTCTCACAGTTTTATTTCATATTTTTTATTTAAAGTATTACAAATAGTAGTACATATGTCTTCTTTTTTTTCCATTGACCTTCCCCCAGCCTCCCTAACCCCCAGTACATGCCCTCACCCCACTCCCAGTGTCTTGCATCCATTGGTTATGCTTCTATGCATGCATACAAGTCCTTCAGTTGTTCTCTTATCTCCCCTGCCAACCTTCCCCAGCCTTCCCACTGTAGTTTGTTTGATGCTTCTCTGCCTCTGTATCTATCTTTTTGTTTATCAGGTTATAATGTTCTTTATTATCCATAAATGAGTGGTATTTTTCTTTAACTGACTGGCTTATTTCACTTAGCATGATGCTCTCCAGTTCCATTTATCCTGTTGCAAATGGTAAGAATTCCTTCTTTTTTTATAGCAGTGTAGTATTCCATTGTGTAAATGTACCACAGTTTTCTAATCCACTCATCTGCTGATGGGCATTTAGGCTGTTTCCAAATCTTAGCTATGGTGAATTGTGCTGCTATGAACATAGGGGTGCGTATATTCTTTCTGATTGGTATTTCTGTTTTCTTGGGATATATTCCTAGAAGTGGTAGTACTGGGTCAAATTCCATTTTTAATTTTTTGAGGAAACGCCATACTGTTTTCCACAGTGGCTGCATCAGTCTGCATTCCCACCAGCAGTGCAGGAGGGTTCCTTTTTCTCTGCATCCTCGCCAGCACTGTTGTTTGTTGATTTGTTGATGATAGCGATTCCGGCAGGTGTGAGGCGGTATCTCGTTTTGATTTGCATCTCGGATGATTAGTGACTTTGAGCATGTTTTCATGTGTCTCTTGGCTTTCTATTTAGGTCTTTCACCCATTTTTTTGATTGTGTGTTCATCTTCCTTTTGTTAAGTTGTATGAGTTCCCTGTAAATGTTGGAGATTAAATCCTTATCAGAGATAACTTTGGCAAATATTTTCTTCCTTGCAGTGGGTTTTCTTACTGTTTTGCTGTGTAGAAGCTTTTTATTTTTATGTAGTCCCATTTGTTTATTTTCTCCTTAGTTTGCATTGCCCTAAGAGCTGTATCGTTAAATATATTGCTACAACAAATATCTGCTATTTTGCTGCCTATGGCTTCTTCTAAGATTTTTAAGGTTTCCCATTTTATGTTTAAGTCCTTTATCCATTTTGAGTTTATTTTTGTGTATGGTGTAAGTTAGTAGTCTAGTTTCATTTTTTTGCAAATATCTGTCCAGTTTCCCAACAACATTTATTCAAGAGTGTGTCTTGACTCCGTTGTATGGTCTTGCCTCCTTTGCCAAATATTAATTGAGCATAATGGTTTGTGTCAATTTCTGAGTTCTCTGTTTGTTCCATTGATCTATATGTCTGTTCTTATGCCGTACCAGGCAATTTTGAGAACAGTGGCTTTGTAGTTTAGCTTGATATCTGGTATTGTAATCCTTCCATCATTGTTCTTCTTTCTCAAGATTGCTGCAGCCATTCAGGGTCTTTTTTTATTCCAGATGAATTTTTGGAGAATTTGTTCTAGGTCTTTGAAGGTATGCCCGTTGGTATTTTAATGGGAAGTGCATTGAATCTATAGATTGCTTTGGATAATTTGGACATTTTAATGATGGTGATTCTACCAATCCATGAACATGGTATATTATTCCATTTGTTTATGTCTTCCTCTAGCTCTCTTTTTCAGTGTTATGAAATTTTCTGAGTACAGGCCCTTTATCTCCTTGGTTAAGTTTATTCCTAGGTATCTTAATTTTTTGTTGCAATGGTAAATGGGATTGCTTTTTTAATTTTTCTGTGAGATCATTATTGGTATATAGAAAAAACTATAGACTTCTGGGTGTTAATTTTGTATCCTGCTACATTGCCAAATTCAATTATTAAGTCTAGTTTTTTTTTTTATGGAGTCTTTGGGATTTTCTATGTACAATATCATGTCATCTGCGAATAAGGACAGTTTTACTTCTTTTCCAATTTGGATGCCTTTTATATCTTCTTGTCTGATAGCAATGGCTAGTACTTCCAGTACTATGTCAAACAGGAGTGGTGAGAGTGGGCATTCCTGTCTTATTCCTGTTCTTAGAGGAAATAGTTTTAGTTTTTGCCCATTGAGTATGATAATGGCTGTGGGTTTATCATATATGGCTTTTATTATGTTGAGGTATGATCCTTCTATTCCTGTCTTGCTGAGGGTTTTTATCAAGAAAGGATATTGGATTTTGTCAAATGCTTTTTCTGCATCAATGGATATGATTATACTAGAGACCCGTTGCACGATATTTGTGCAAGAATCGGCCTTCCTTCCCCTGGCTTCACTCCCAGTCGCCTGGGAGCCAGCACGCCCTCGCTTCTGCCCAGAGCATGGCTTCTATAGCTCCCTCCGCTGCCCTCCCCCTCATAGCAGGAGTCCTGTCCCTCCCACTGGTCCATGTCTGTATATGCAAATTAACACATCTTTGTTGAGTTAATTTGCTTACTCTGTTTCACTGTGGGCATAGCAGAGGTATGGTCAATTTACATGTTTGTCTATTATTAGGTAAGATGATTATATGGTTTTTATCTTTCAGTTTGTTTATATGGTGTATCATATGATCTTTTTAATGTAATGCTGGATTCTATTTGCTAGAATTTTGTTGAGGGTTTTGGTGTCTATGTTCATGAGGGATATTGACCTGTAATTTTCTTTGTATTGTCTTGATCTGGTTATGGGATTAGGGTAATGCTGGCTTCGTAGAATGAGCTTGAATTGTTCCTTCCTCTTGAATTTTTTTGGAATAGTTTGAGGAAGGTAGGTTTTATTTCTTCTGGTCCAAGGCTTTTGTTTGTTGGAAGTTTTTTGATTACTGCTTCAATTTCCTCCATGGTTATTGGCCTAGTCAGATTTTTTTTATTCCTCCTGGTTGAGTTTTTGAAGGTCATATTTTTTTAGGTATATGTCCATTTTTTCTAGGTTGATCAGTTTGTTGGAGTAGTTGCTCATATTATTTTTTTATCGTTCTTCATATTTCTGTGGGGTCTGTTGTTATCTTACCTCTTTTCGTTTCTGATTTTGCTTATTTGGGTCCTCTTTCTTTGCTTCTTGGTGAGCCTAGCTAGAGGTTCATCAGTCTCATTTATTTTTTCAAAAGAACTAACTCTTGGTTTCTATTTCACAGATTTAAAACATGTTTTCAAAGTTGTATTGTGACTTCTATCATACTTAGTGTGGCTAGTTTTTCATAAGTTCCCTTAATGGCTGTGGATTTGTGTTGTATATTAAAGAAATAATCAAGTCAGCTTTGGATTTCCAGCAAAGCCAGTATTGCTCTGTAGCTGATTGTTGCCTATGAAATGGTTTGCTGCTCACTCCTCTCTCTCTTTCTAACTCTTGAAGTGTCATTGCCCTTCAGTCCTATAGACAGCAGAAAAGCTAACTGAGCAAACAAAATACTTTTGGAAATATGTTTTTTACATTGTTGAATAACAGGGCATTTTTGTGTTGGGAATTATTTTAAACAGTGGTCCCTGCTTCTTGTCACTCCAAAGTTATCTGTGACTGTCATTGTAGTCTGGAAACTCAGTCAGAACTGGCCTTCTGTGTCTCAGCCTCAGCAGAAGCATCCTGTAATATGGAAAGCTAGCACCATAAGCCCTAGTGCCAAATGTGTGT